GTCACGAAAATCGCACGTGTCCAAGATATCAGCCATAGAGCGGCGGCGGCGGCGGCGGCGCACCAGACGGCGACCGAGAACCCGTTGGAAAAAGCGCAACGGCAGACCAGACCGGACCGCACCGCACCGGATCACTGGACTGTGAAATGCAATGTGCAAAAAAATAACCGAAAAAATTAAGCCCAAAAGAAAACAATGCTAACTGTTAATGGTAGGCATGAATTCGCAACGTGATTTACCGTTTGGGGGTGATTTTTTGGGCTAAAGAAAAATCTTGGGGTGTAGTCCAGGAAAAGACAAGAATGATCCCCTCTACTGCAGGGCTTAAAGGTTTTTTTTTATAGACGGAAGGAGCACAGAAAACCAGTTGAAATGCACCTGCCGTTGGGCTCTTTGAACACCTGGCTTTCACACAATTTTAGGGCTAGAGGAATGCGTTCTTGGAGGGTGGAAATGCAGAATTTATGCATTGAATTTGGTTGGCAGATAAATCTACAAGAACTACAGAAATATCTTAAAAGAAATGGCATTCAGGATTGATTATTTATAATAATTATTTTATTTAATTTAATTATTATTTATTAAAAATTAATTAAGCTTAAAATTCCATTTCAAAACCATTTTATTTTTTAAACCAAAAGAATTTTTCTGTTTAAGAGCCTAACAAAATACGTTTAAATTTGTAAGTTGAAGGGATTTTGTAAATAATTTATTAATTATTATTAATATTTTCTATATCAAATATTTTGCCAATTTTTATTATTATAATAATCCCTCATAAAATTCTCTATCATTTACACATCTCCAACCCAATCCCTATCAAAAATATCGTTGTATCTTTCCACATTCCTCGATAGCAAAGCAAAAATTCCAGCATTGGATTCAATGATTTATTCCCTATCCTATCTATCGTGTCGTATGACAATCCAAAAATTTGTAGCAATGGTGGATCCCCTTTACGAGCCACAGCCAACAAAAAAAACTCGTAATTCCCTTATCAAAAAAAAAAAACCACACACACAACAAAATATAGAAATCTTTTTTAGGGTAATGAGCATTGAATAGAGTGTGGATTGGGAAGATCCAATGGGCGGGGCGGGGCCGGGCCTTATCGGTGGACAAACACAAACAAAACTAAAAACCCGATACAGACAGTGGTTCAAGGGGTAAAAGTGGCAAAATGGCATAGGAATAACAAGGGAAATCTCCAATTTCCAAGAATTCCATGCGAACGATAACGAGAAAGCTTATTGGCAGAAATAAATAAATATCAGAGGCGTAATTTACAAAAAAAAAAAAATATATAGTGTAGAGTAATTCTAGAAATTTCATGGCAAAACACTGATAGGAGTGGAACATAGAGCTGATAACACTCTCCGATGGGGCGGGCGCCTAAAGTATGCCAAAGTTGGGGTGGGATTGGGGCGGTGGGCGCGGGGGCTACGGATAGATTTTCAGAGATCTTACCACTTTGGGCAACGGCGATAGCGGCATGCTAAACAGGTACTCATCGCCAAAGATATTGTAGTTATCCAGCGTCATCATGGATATGCTGGTCTCTGTGGTATCTGTATCTGTATCTGTATCTTTTGTTTTGTTTCCGGCACAAAGTCTATTTTGCCGATTAGCCAAATGATTCAAGGCGATTTCTGGCGAAATACGCCTTTGTATATGTCTTTCAAAATTCAGTTCACACACCACCACAAATGTATCTCGACGGATCGATGTATCTGTATCTGTGCCTGTTGTACGAATGGCGCGCGATCGTGCGAATTATTTGCGTTGTCCGTATTTCAATATTTCCGAGAATTGTTTTGTTTTCAGCTATTCTTTTGGTTTTTTCTTCGATACAAATGCCACAAACATTCTGTTTTTACAGTAATTTCACTCGATTTATTACGTTTGACGGTTCACAGTTTTGTAAAACACCAGAGATTATTGCCGAAGCGTTTCGCACGGCCAACTTGTTTTGACTAATGCGTCATCGTCGTTCGACTGGCCTTATATACGCCCCCAGAGGCCCCCAGACGAGTTTTTTTATCGCTTCGAGTGAAAGAGAGCCGCCCAGACGTTAGAGAGGGCCGTTTTTGAGTGGAAACGAAAGCTACGTGGGGCTCCTCTCCGGGTCTCTGGCATTTCCTGAGCAAAAACTGCACAGACGGCAAATTATAGTACATTTTATATAGATATATATCTGTATTATATTGTGGGTTTAACCCGCTCTGGCTGCTCTACACATACAATACAATATATGGAATATCGCACTCACGTGACTCTTCGTAGTTTTTCTTTGGCTACGCGATGTTCTTGGGGCTGGCTCCCCTTATCTTATCGCCAGACAATTTAGTTATGACATAAGCAACTAAATTTAAAGACACCGAGACACAGGTAAAGTCGCCCCTTTTATGCCCCCAAATGCAACCAACAACAAAGGCTGGCCTTTGTAATCGCGGGGCCCCAAAAAGAGGGGCCTTATCTCGCAGTTGGGCTCTACGAAATGGGTCGCCAGGCGATTCAATTCGAATCCAATACGAATCGGTGTCGCCATCGCCACCGCGATCCACCTGAGCAGGAGGCAGGCAGGTGTTCCTCCATAGGAATTTATCGTATCTATGTATGATATGTCAGCCTTTTCAATAAATATTGATGGGGAGCCCCCTGCCTACCTGCCTGCCTGCCGCCTCTACCGTTCGATGCGTTCAGGTGCCGCCTTGTAATTTTATGCGCAACCAAATGAAAAGGCCACACTGACCTTGTATCGTCACTTACGTGGCTCTCCTTTTTGGTCTCTAGAGGGGTATGGGGGATTGGTGCAGGGGGTTGGGGAAAGTGCAACCATATGTGGGTCGTGTGACACTAAACATCTGTGTGGCACAAAGGCAATTGCTTTGCTCTACTTACCTGCAACGAGAGAGATACAGAGAGAGAAAGAGAACAGAATTTTCAATTAGTATTTGGGATTGGAAAATGTACAAGAAATGTATTCTTAGAGCTTTAGATATATGGGAAATATATGTTATTTTATAAGGAAAAGGTTGTAGTTCAATGTTTTCGTGGAACTATAAGATATCTAGGGTACTATCCCCAAAGTTTCTTTGGAAATATGCAGCTATGGCAAAAGATAGTACGGGTATTTCTGTCGAATATTTTATGTGTTTCCTAGGACGTTGACTGAACCCTCAAGGGGCCCAAGCGGCACGAAGCTTTTTGCGCGCGAATCACAGACAGAAACGCCATAAACCGACCGAGGAGCGCTGCTGCATGCCGCATGACACCCAGGCAAGACGTACATACATAAAAGGACAGAGATTCAAGGAATTAATAAGGATTTATAATGCATTGTCATCAAATTCGCAAAGAACAAAAGCAGAGAAACATTACAGGCTGTGGATCCCGTGAATTTCGCGAATTTTAAATGCGAATATGGCCGAAATTCTATCGATTGCTCAGAGGGATACTCCTCTTCCCCTACTATGAGATTCTACCTTCTCCAGATGCCAAAAGTTTCCGCATTGAAAGACCTAGAAGCCTAGATTCACACTCAGAACAGAGACAAACGCACATAAGGTTCCATTGAATTATCTAAAGATTTACATAGGGGTTCACCATTCACCATTCATTCAACAAAGACCTTTAAAATACTACTCGTACAAGATAATGCCCCTCATTGACTCACATGTTGACTCGAAATGCTGCCTCTAACGCATTTCAAAGTTCGAGTGAAAATTGCACTACCCTTTTCGGGTTAGGGTACAATCGGCCATAAGTTTTCGAACAGTTTCTACGAACCCATTGCCGACGTCACGAAGTGGTGATAAGACTCTGTTCTGTATTCCCCAGATTACGTGCGAGTAGTAGCATTCGGAAGCCGGCCACTCCTATTGAGTATTTCGTATTTTTAGCCAATGGTATCATGCCTCGGGTAGGACGCAAAAGGTTCTCCGCCCGGAAGTAGAGCCTTAGGTTTCCATATAATTTGGCAATCGGTCGTAGGGAATAACGAAAACATAAATGAATAATGAGTGATTTCTGTCGAATAAAAGTTGTGCGAAGACTGATAAAGGCGCTCGGTATCTGTATCTGAGCAGAGGCGTTTACATCAGTACTTAAAAATAAAGCTATCTTTGCAGTTCATTTTCATTGTTTTTCTTTTGTCCAGCGATAAGCAAACGGCTGCGATAAAGTCTTGCAGTTCCGTAGTAACGTGATCCAAACTTCCGGTGATGATGGGGGTACGGGTATGGGTATGTGTCGTAGGCCCGGGCCATCAGATAAGATTGGAACAATGGGCCTCAAGAAAAACAAAAGCAAATCTATGACAAATACTCGTAGTACTCGAATCGGCAGCAAAGGTCTCGCTGTTTATCTGATAGGGAAATCGCTTTGCAATTAACTCGTGTTTATGGTGTAAACAGAACTTGGAACCGTTGGAATCGGTTGCACAGGTGTCTCCGACTCCTTCGGGAAGCAGACTGGAAGTATCACACAAATAGCCCTAGGATTAGTGGTCTTTATTATGTTCTAAGCTCAGTTTTCGAATACACTGATACACTCTGCGACTCTGTGATCCTTAGTTGAAGATTAGGTGACCCCGACTCCTTCGGAAAGCAGTTCTGAGTGAGGAATGGAAGTATTTCACAAATACGCTTAAGATCAGCTATCCTCTGCGACTCTGAGATCCTTAGTTAAAGATTAGGTGTCTCCGACTCCTTCGGAAATCAGTTCTGAGTGTGCACTGGAAGTATCTCAGAAATACCTTTAGGATTAACGAACTTTTTATAGTCTAAGATCACTTTTCGAAGATCTGCTATCCGCTGAGACTCTCAGAACCTCAATTGAAGAACTCCCACTGTGGAAAATGTCCTTCCTTTCAATCCACTTTGGAGCAGCTCAGTGGGCCTCTACTTTAAGATCTGTTTTGGCACTTGATCATCAATCAGGCCTCTTTCCTAATCTCAAAATCAAAAAACACTTTCGAAATTAAACTCGTTTTTGATTGGATATACTAGAACGAACTTTTAAGAAACAAAAGCGAAAAACGTGAAGAAGGAGAATGGCTTTTATGCGTTCCAAGCCATCGCTGGGTTCCCTGGCCCGCGTTGCCTTTCGCTGGTGTGGTCCTGGCGTGGGGCTCGTCAGCTACAGCCAGGAGCCGTATCTGGTGAAGGCCGTGCAGGGCAAGTCCAAGCCCAGGAGTCCCACCTTACAGTCCGCAATGCAGCCCAGAGCACAGGCCGAGACGATTCAGGCCCCCAAGTGCTTCGGGGAGGACAGCTTTTTCTTCAGCTCCACGCCCAAGGCCGATGTGATGGGCGTGGCCGACGGTGTGGGCGGCTGGCGGGATCGAGGCATCGACGCCGGGCGCTTCTCCCGGGATCTGATGCAGCGCTGCTTCGTCCACGCCCAGAAGCCCACCTTCGATGCGCGCAATCCGCGCCAGCTCCTCAGCGAATGCTACGGCGAGATGAAGCGCAAGTGGAAGCCCATCCTGGGCAGCAGCACCGCCTGCGTGGTGGCCTTCAATCGCAGCGAGTCGGCCCTGTACACCGCCAACCTGGGCGACAGCGGGTACGTGGTGATCCGCAACGGCAGCGTCCTGGACCGTTCCGAGGAGCAGACGCACTTCTTCAACATGCCCTTCCAGCTGACAGTGCCGCCGCCCGACTCCAACCGCGAGATGTGGTTCTGCGATGATCCCTCGGAGGCGGTGGCCACCCGCCTGCTCCTGCAGCCCGACGACCTTGTGCTGGTGGCCACCGACGGGCTCTTCGACAACATGCCCGAGCAGATGCTGCTCGAGATGCTCTCCAAGGTGCAGGGCGTCCACGAGCAGAAGGCCATACAGGAGGCGGTCAATCGTGTGGTGGAACGGGCGGGCGCCCTCTCGATCAACCCCATCTACAAGTCCCCCTTCTGCCTCCGGGCCCTGGAGAACAACGTGCCCTATGGGGGCGGAGGCAAGCCGGACGACATAACCGTGGTCCTGGCCAGCGTGGCGATGCGCCAGTGCAATACCGTGGGGGATTCCAATGAATCCAAGGGCTCCGCCCTACGTCCACGTCTATCCTTTCCCTAGGCGTGTGACGAGAGGAGGCGTTTTCAGAGTTAAATCAAAAGTTTAAAAGTGTTGACCGGCAAATATTATTCCAAAGTCAATCAAAAAGTCACCGTGTGTTGCCAGCGATAAACATTTAATATACAATTTGTTTATGAAGAAAAAACAGCAGTGTAGGGTGGGCGGGGCGCGGGGGGGCGTACGGGGGGTGTAGCCTCCACTCATTCATTCAGTAAATATGAATGAATGAATGAACGAATGCGGCTACAACCGATTCCACACACAGCCGAGCCGAGCACGGCGGCAGGCAGATTGGATGATGACTCATACGTTTTAACCAGAATTCGTGCGCTTTTTTTCTTCTGTTTTTCTTAGCCCAGTTAGTGAGCGAGTTTGTGTGTGTGTGTGTGTGTGTGTGTGGGAGAGGGGCAGCGAGACGTGCCATGGCCTAGGGGCCCAACGCTCGGCTGCGCCCACACTCGAGCCCGCAGAAGCCGGCTCTACGAAAACCACTCGTTTCGGCACACGTAAGCACTCACTCAGCCACTCACTCACTCACTCACGAGAGCTTTTGCACTCAACAAAGAGAGACAGAGAGAGATAGAGGGCCCGAGAGCGCGTTATTGACGAGCGCCGCGCTCACCACTCGGGTATAAAGAGAGAGAGAGAGAGAGCGGGGGACCAGCAAAATCAGGCGATGGTCGCTGACGTTGGAAATCCCCAATGCAGCAGCAGCATTGCGAAATTCCCCTCCAGCATAATGTGAGAGTGCCTTCGATAAAAACGGAAAGGATACGGGGATACGACTAGAGGATGACCATTGCAGAGTGAAGATTTGGGGGAGGAAACAACACTAAAGGAAATAATGTGAAAATACCTTTAAAAATTATTAGAAAAAAATATGAATAAATAATATTAAGATATGTAACGAGGAAAACCAAGGAAAAATGCCACATTTCTCATCAGCACAAGGCCCACACGCCCGAAATAAATTATCTCTGATAACACCACAAGATATTGGCAGACTTATACCTATAAGATCTGGAATGGAATATAGGGGAGAGAGTGGCACAAAATTGAGCCTATAAATGCCCCGCAGCCAGCGATTTCCGCCATGAAATTCCGCAGTCTTACAAATAAATACAGTCGAAATTTCATATAGAAAATCTCAAGAGGAATCACAGAACTAATTTTTGCAATATAGCATTGCAGTGTTCTGGAAATAAATTCCATATATAGGAAACTTCGTTGTATGGAAGTTCGTAAAAGAGAAGAGCGACTGTATACCAGAATACAATAAATATATCCCAGATCCCCTATACCCCTTTGGTTACAAGCCCTCCCTGAGTGCCAGCAGACCCTCGGCTTTCCCTTGCTGTCGGGTCAAGGAGTTGACACAATCTGGGGAGTGCTGTCGGGTGTCCGGGGCCGTCAGTTCTTGATAATTTCCCCAATGGCTTTATCTTTCGCTCGTTTCGCACTTTTCAGCGCCGTGTCGAATTGAACCTGATGTTGCAACACTCGTTCGTTGCCCCTTGGAATGCGGTGCCTGATGCTGCGCCTCTTCTTGGAATTCCTTGCCGGATGACGCGTCCGCACGTTGCACGGGCCAACAAGGATCGACGGGCGTGTAAATCTTTCAGCATTGTGTGTATGCTGTATGCATTTTTAGCCACACTCCACACCACTCCAAACCCAACCAAACCGATCCCCACCAAGCCGTTCCAGATGTGCTCCAATTCGTATAACCAACTCCACATTCAATTCCGCATCCATTTCCCCAGTTCCATGTGCAATTTCCGCTGGCGGCTTGAATTAGTCGAATCGTCGATGTATATAACTCAATTAGGGGTAGAACGGGGGGCTAACTGAACATCAGGCCACTGCCAGTTAGCACTGACACCTCCTTCTCCTCTTAGTACTCCTCCTCAGGGCCCTGGCCTTGCTCTAGAAAGTTCAACAAACCCATTGGGAGCACCGAAGCAGAGGCAGTGGCGGAGGCAGTGGCAGAGGCGCCGCAGTCAATGGCTGGAACAAAGGGGGTTCTTTGTAGTCCCTGAATTTCAGGTTTGAGGGACACATTCCGCACATTTTTGTATTTGTTTTGTTACCCTAGATATCGCATGATTTATTGAAGGAAAACTATTAACAAAGAGAGCAATAGATTCTTTGAGTAAATTCCTTTAATACGATTCGACAATCCTATCAAATCCCCCCTAAAAGAATACAAAACAAACAAAATATTGTATTTTGTGTTTTAAAGCACTTCAAAGACTCTTAAGACCAAAGTTTTTTTAACCCCAATATTACGAAAAATATTTATATATATTTTAGAAGTTTTTAGAACTTTATCTTCCATTCTTTCACCGGTAGATTATTTTAGGAGCCACAAAATGAGGAGATATAATTATTATAACTCTTGAATATAACAAATTTCATTATACAGTACTTCCCATGTCTAAAATGCTACCCCTGGAATCTCCTCTTATATTCCAATCTATTATCCAAACAAAAATAATAAAATAATAAACAAAAGCAAACAAAAATTCGTAAAAAATATAGCCGATATCAATCCTATATCAATATCGTCTTAATAGCTTTAACCCCCTTTAACCCCTCTCCAGGACTACGCTCCTGACAAATGTGTGAATGCTTTCCTTTTTTCGCTCACATGACAGCCCATCCCACTCTTTGGGACCCCGTTTCCTCAGCCGCCTACACTCTGCCGAAATTCCCAGAAAATCGAAAGCAAATGCGAACTCGAAAACACGCAACATTTGACATTTTCCCCCCGGTTTTTTTCCCCCCATTTTTGTTTTCATTATTGTATTTTCGGTTTCTTTTCTTTTGCCGCTTAGTTGAAAATATACCAAATGACATAATTTTTGTGTGCGGGGGAAAAATTAGCATTTGAACTGAAGCAAATGAGAGATCATCGCATTACTCTCTCTCTCTAACTCTCTTTCCAGCTATCTTCTCCGACATATGTATGTATCTCATTCGAGTTGGAAGTAGAGATGAGCAAAGGCTTTGAAGACGAACTCACGCACGAAAAAGCACGAAGCTGCTCACGATGAAGCATAACGAAGAAGGTGAGAGCTTAAGCTCTTCGTTACTGCCTTGAAAGAGCCTTGGAATCACGACTATTCATCCCCTGACCATCTCTAGCTGTGACGTCATTCCATCGAGAAACTTTGTGACCAAATTAGGTACTCTTTTTTTTCAAATGAGCTTCGATGTGCCAGACATGCTCCGACATGCCTCGAGAGTCAGCCGCGAGGAGACGAACAAAACCGGCTTGTCTACGTCGCTGTCGTTGTTGTGGCCGAAGCCGAAGCCTGAGCCAAAGCTTAAGTTTAAGCCATTGACGTCATAAGATAATTTCATTAGCATGCCCGAGCCCCAGTGGAACTTTCGAGTGAAAAACAACGAACGATATCCACAATCTCAAGTGGAAATGGTCAAACGTTTTGGGGGACTTCCCCTAATTGATAAAGCAAGCAGGGCGTATAAATAGAAAACCCTACTAACCGAGAAATAATAAACAAAGAATATTAGACTTTAGATGGCAGTTCAGTTCTTAATGAATTGTGGATAAATCAAAACAAAGATAAATTTACAATGAAGATAGTGCAAAATCGGGTAAAGAAAAATCCCCTACGTACAGGTTGTTTATAGATATCCAGAAATCTCGCTAGGATAGGGACAGCTGTACAGAAAGAGAGAGAGAAAATTCACGCTTCACTGCTAAGCCCAAGTCTGCCCAAGGCAGGAGAGCCATCCAAGTAGTCAAATAGTACTTTATAAGCCTTTCATAAATTCAATAGCAATATTCTACCACTATTTCTTTTCTGAAAACCTTTCCCAAGTACAAAATGTTCTTTACTATTCCATGACTCTTATAATATGGTCTAAACTTTCGCTAAAATCCACTTGTAGATACACAAATTCCCTTGAAACTCCTTAAATTCCCTTTAAAAATAAAATCTATATAACATTTTCCACTTAAAAAACTGAAACCCAGTCAAAGGCAACCGTTTGTGCGCTTATTATCTATACATTTCTTTATCTATCTGTCGATTACTCCTTGCCTGTCGCCTGCCACGAAATGCATTACAAAATCCCATGAAATATTCTTGGTACAATCGAAAGCCATAATAAAATAATAAAAAGTGAGGACACCACACACGCAGAATGAGACGATGAAACGATCAAACGATTGGCATGATTGGATCCAGCGATACGAACGAGTATCGTAAAAGATTTGCACACACGAAAAACCTAAATGTGCCCATAAAAACCAAAGAAGAAAAACCCCAGCTATGAGGTTACCGCAGCTAAAGATACACTCTCTAGGGAATACGAAACGATATGGTATTACGCGATTCGAATCGAGTTTTTCTTTTACCGATTTGCTTGTTGACAACTCCTTAACTTTAGGAATAACATAAACATCCTCGATCGCGAATCTGAGACGAAGATCTGTGGTGGTTCGCAAAAACAAAGCGTGGGAGCGCACATCGCCAGCAGAAGGGAAAAAGTCACACCCGAACACGGATCCTTCTGGGGATACATCTCTCTGGGTTCCGATTATGTCTCAAGGCTACACTTATAAGAGTATTATGATCCTAAAGCTTTTCTTTTAATGAACATCTTCTAGAGCAACAAATAGAAGGTTCTGTTTCCAGTAAGAAGAGCATGAGAGATGGGATCGAAAGAGTATCCCCATAGCTGTAGAATCTAAGCAGAAAACAACAATAATAATTGATGGTTTGTTGTATGGTGTTTATTTATTTTTTGTAGATTTTTTTTATTCGTCTGTTTGCTGGTTTTGATATTTATTTATTTTTAGTTGATGCGCACATTAAATTGGCAATTTCTGTTGTTGGGGGATATCTGATCCGATGATGATTATTATACTCGTATACATATTTTTTATATACCTAAAAATCACTGTTCGAGGAGTGTTTCGCCCGATGCTCGTGACTTTTAATGCGTTTGCTTTTAATGCATGGAATATT